AACTGAGGGGGATGGCCTCTAATTTGGCCTATGCTCTTGATTCTCCATATGAAGGATGTCTTGTAGAGCCTAAAAATCTACCGGATCCTTAATACCATAATTTACAGAAATGTCATACATCTTCTGCAAATTGATAGAATTAATAGACTGAGTAGAAGAGGATGAGGAGGATTTACCCTTGGAGCCTCCCGCAGGGAAGCTCCTTTTCATTATGCCGAGGTGCTTCCTGTGAGGGAGATGAGCGAGCATGCGCTTGTTGGATTTCTTCTTCAGCTACTTCTTGATATTTTCAAACCCGGGAGGTAGGTTTGAGGAGGATGCTACATCTAGAGAATCTGATGATCTGCTAGAAGGAGAGGGATGATCGGAACCTGAGAAGCCTTAGTACCTAGGGGGGAAGTAGCAATAGATCCCTGGGGAAAAACAACTAAGAGTTTGTCCCAAGATTCCTTAGTGATCCTGAACTCGACTCCCTGAAAGGCTACATCAATGAGGATTGGAGGTGTTGCATCTAGGTGACCAGGGGTGGGCTGAATAGGAGGGGGGCCCTAATTGATCCCTCCTCCTCTACCAACGTCTGCTTACCCTTAGATAGCTGCGTTGAGGAAACAGCTGCTGCAACACTCTGGACTACTAAATTGGATGCGTTCATATGAGGGTGAGGAGGGGAGACATCCAGAGAAAAGATGGAGCCCCTTCTCTACGAACAAAACTTTCAAAATATTCTCTAATCTTTTCTTTACTGGCAGTAAGAAGATTACCTACTATCCTGAGAAGCACCGATCCCTCCATAAGGTGAATATCATCCTGGGAGGAATAGCGGAAGGTGATAGATCTCAGGATCTTTGATATGTCCCTGACACTGAGCAAGACTTTGCAATCTTTAGCATTCTTCTTGAAAATCACATCATTCGAAATAGATATAACATCTCCTACATCCTCCAGCAAGATTTTGAAGAACTTCGTGTTCTAGAGGTGAAGGGGAAGGTCTATAAACTCTACCCAAACATAGACAAACTTTGGGAGGGATAAGAGTCTTATCTTCTCTGTCCAGGGTGTAAAGACATCTCTGAAAGTCCACATGTCAAAGAAATCTTTAGAACAAGCTCTGAACAGAGCCTCTTCATCAGGGAATCGGATAAAATAGGAGGTTTTAGAGATGCGCCTAACATCGTACAACCATATGTCCACCTTGAGATGAAACTCTAGGTTTTCAATGAGTTCCCCAAAAGTAGGGTTCCCTACCTGGAGGTTTAGGAAGCCAAAGAAAACATAATCCTCCATGGTACTGACAATTGAAGGGGGAAGAGTGATGTTTGGTATGAACAAAGGAAGGGGGAGAAGATGACGGGGAGATGTTCTGCAGGGAGGGGTTCTTGTTGTTAGGACATATAAATGGAAGTATGACCTATATTGTTGCAAGCAAAACACTTGAAATCTCCAAGCGAACAGTTTTTTGCCATATGGAAGCGGTCCCCGCAGAGATAACACCTTGGAGGTTTGAGGGGAGGATGGAGGGCTACCTTTGACTTTTTCATCTACCTCTTTTGAGAAACAATAGTCCATCCCTCTTTTGAAAGGGGAAGGATACATTTTTGAGAGGTGGAAATGGAAGTAGAGGGAGGGTGGGAACCCTTGAGGAGATCAACAAATGAAGAGAAAATAGGGTTGATTCTGAGGAGGTTGGAAGGGGAGAGGCTGAGGAGGAGGAGCGTCTAGTTTGGAAGAGGGCAGAGGGGGGAAAGCTATAAAGGGTGGAGCTGTTGGCTGAGAGACTGGTTTTGGTGGTGTTGTGGGCTGAGGGGCAGGGGACAGAGGGCTAATGGTGAGCTTACCTTGATTGAAAGAGACTATATGTCTTTTCGATACGCGCATCGTCGCTTGTCTTGTGAAATCGCCTTTTCGCCTTCCCTGTCGCTTATTCGAATTCATCCTGCCTTTTTCATATTACAATTTACTCTCGCCACTAATTGTAACTTATGATATATAATTGCTAAAATAGTTTAACTATGGAGATGTTCTACAGGGAAGGGTTCTTCTTGTTCGGACAATTAATGGATGTGCGTCCTATATTGTTGCATGCAAAGCACTTGAAATCTCCTAGCGAACAGTTTTTCGCCATAGGGAAATGGTCCCCACAGAGATAACACCTGGGAGGTTTAAGGGGAGGGTAGAGGGCTACCTTTGACTTCTTCGACTGCCTCTTACGAGAAACTATAGTCCAACCCTCTTCTGACAAGGGAATGATATCATTCTGAGAGGAGGGAATGGGAGAAGAGGGAGGGCGGGAACCCTTGAGGAGATCAGCAAAAGAAGAGAATACCGAGGGTTGTTCCGAGGAGGCTGAAAGGGGAGTGGCTGAGGAGGAGGAACGACAAGTTTGGAAGAGGGCAAAGGGGGGAAAGCTGAAAAGGGTGTAGTTGTTGGCAGAGCAACTGGTTTTGGTGGTACAATAGGCTGAGGGGCAGGGGACAGAGGAGTTATGGTGAACTTACCTTGATTGAAAGAGACTATACATCTCTTCGAGACGCGCGCCGCCGCCTGTCTTGCAAAAAAGCCTTTTCACCTTCCCTGTCGCCCATT